AGAATAAATTAGAAACATTTACACCTCAAACACATTAAAAGTTTACTAAAATTAACCAGAGAATTCTATTAAATTCACAAAATTTGATTTAGATTGGTGCAGCAAATGAGAATTTAAACAGCTAGATTCAGTGAAATGAATGGTATGGTATTTCATTCTAGCATTTCTGCGATTGTCTGGTTATCTGTGTGCTGACATTTGATGGAGTTTTCACAATCATCTTATGTGTCATTCCAAAGCACTGAGCTTCTAGGTACTATTGTTCAGATTTTTTCACAAAATGAGGTGGTTAAAGAAGGCATATTTTGAATGCATACAGTAAGAGTTAGGTAATTATGGTCAAATCAGTTTTGATAGACAAAGATAAAGGGAAGGGGGTGAGGGTAGAATGGTGATGGAAACTGGATCTACAGCAACAACAGCAAATATAGGTCCAATATTCTTGCACACACAAAATATCAATAAAAATAAAAAGGAGAACTAAACAGATTTTTTATAAAGCATAACCACGAATGACATTATGAGTGTTTTAGCTAGAGAGCCTTCATCAGCAAACTGCAGTACGGACAAAGATATAAAACACTATATAAATTGCTGTTTGAAAACTAAGGACCACCCCCACATTCGTGCAGTTTACAAAAACTATTTCAATTTAATGTTTATGTAATGCTGAATTATTATTTTGCAATGTATTTGCAGTAATTTATTTTGATAACTAATTATATTCTGTAATTCCCTGTACGGGTTTCGAGGTCCAATTTGAGGAAAAACATTAAGTTCCACTGCCTCCCTAACAAGCATGTCATAAGAGTCTCCTCTGAAGTTGGAGTGCATCTGTCTGAGAGGCAAGGAACCAATAGTCTGTGTACAAAAAGGCCAGATCTTTAAAATGGTGTGTATGCAAAACTCTAAGAACTGGAACAAAAGTCCAGAGGTGGATGATTAGCCTGAATTTTCTACTGAAGTTTACAGCCAGTTAATGCAAAGAAGAAGATATTCTGTGATAATACAACATCCAATAATTCTTTTTCTTCCTGTGCCTCAAAAAAAAAAAAAAAACTGCAATTGTTACAATTGTTTAAGGGGGGGGGGGGTGGGGGGGTGGGGAGGGGGGGAACCCCTTAAATGTGTGTGTGTTGTCTATCAAGATGTTGATGTCCACTCTTTTTCATTAGGTATGAGTACGAAGATGACTGATGAGGCCGATGCGGGCCCGAAACGTTCTTGGACAGTGAGGACAGAGAACGAGCATTGTGCCAGGGAGGGGATTTCCTGCAGTCGCCTTTCTGTCCATCCTTTTCCTAATCAGTCTTGCTGTTCTGTTTGCTTCACATGTAGCCGCCCTATAGTGTAGAGTTGGACGCCATGCATTTCGGCCTTGGGAGGCAGCCTCCCAGTTGGTGTCATTTAACCCAAATGCTTTGAGTGAAGACTTGCAAGGTGTCCTTAAAGCATTTCTTTTGCCCACCTTGGAAACGTTTTTCATTTTGCAGCTCACCATAGAAGAGGTTTTTTTTGGGAGCCTGTGATTTGGCATGCGTGCCACATAACCAGCCCAACGAATTTGATACTGCATCGTGAGAGTGTGGATGCTGGGCATGGCTGCTTTCTCAAGGAATACGGTATCAGGTACTTTGTCTTGCCATCTGATCTGCATTAGTTTTCTAAGGCAGACTGTGTGAAAGTGGTTTAACTTTCTAGCCTGGCACGGGTATACAGTCCATGTTTCGCATGCGTACAGCAGTGTAGTTAATACAACTGCTCTGTATACTTTCAGCTTTGACTGCAGGGTTATGCCATTTCTGTTCCAAACATTTTTGTACAATCTGCCAAAGGCAACGCTAGCCCTTGAGATCCTTGCATTTACTTCCTCATCAATTGTGGCGCTCTGTGTAAGGGTGCTGCCTATATAAGTAAATTTACTGACAACGTTTAATCTGAAGCCATTCACTGTGATATTGGGCTCAATGTATCTTTGCCCTGAGGCTGACTGGTGCATGGCTACAAATTTATCTTTTTTGATGGTGAGCCCAAAGTTTGTACAGCCATCACTGAATTTGTTGATGTTGTGCTGCATATCCGCTTATGTGTTAGTATAAAAGGCTCAATCGTCGGCAAACAGGAGCTCCCAGATGGTGTCTGATTTAGTTTTTCTTTTTGCTTTCAGCCTCCTGAGGTTGAACAGTTTTACATCTATACGGTAATTTATGTTGATTCCAGTGTGATCATTTACAAAGGAATCAGTCAGCATGGCTGAAATTAACAGATTGAACAGTGACGGTGCAAGCATGCAGCCCTGTTTGTGACAGGAAAGGACTCCTACAGTTCGCCGTTATCATGCACTCTTGCTTGCAAAACCCCTGAAAATACCAAAACACGGTTAAACAAAATATAGGATGCTATACTAAGAATAACTATATGACCACATTTTTGAAGAATTTAGCAAACACTCAATATATTATTATTTATAGAAGAAAGTTAGAGAAAATAAGTGAAAGTAAGTGTATACTCACTTTGTTTTTCCATACTTTAAACTCTCCAGGTCTTTCTTTATTAGTTAATAATGATTTCACATGTGCAATTGAAAGTTCAAATGACATCAATTCCTGATGAAAGAAAGGCAACAGAAAAAAATATATGCACATATATCTGCTAAGGACTTACAACCAAGTTAGAACTTTTCAAAACATTAAACAAGGTGTTAGACAGGAATGTGTACTATCATCCGATTTATTTAATTTGTACAGTGAAATAATAATTAGATACATACATGGTATGAAAGGAATATCGGTTGGTGGACATACTGTTAATAACCTGCGATATGAAGATGATATAGTTTTGATCGCTCAAAATGAAAAACAACTGCAAGAAATGATGGATATAATTGTAACAGAAAGTGAAAAAAAGGGTCTTAATTTGAACAGCAGAAGTAATGGTAATTACAAAGAGAACTGACCCTCCAAAATGCAACATCGAAGTAAATTGGACAAACCTCAAGCAAGGACACATTTAAGCAGTTGATAACATCAGATGGAAGATGTATTAAAGAAGTTAAATGTACAATAGCTTTAAGCAAAGCAGCATTTTACAAAATGAAGAATATTTTATGCAAAGTTTCTTTGTCATTTGAGACGAAAGAAGAATTCTTCAAAGCAATATAAATCCCATCTTTATATATGAAGTGAATCATGGACAGTTGGTAAATTAGTGAAAACTTATTTGAAAGATGGGGAGATGTGGTTTTAAAGATGAATGATGATAAGACCCTGGACATTTTAAAAGAGTGATGATGTCTTGAAAGAGACTGACTCACGAAGAGAACTGATTGCCCACATCAAAGAGAGACAATCTATATTCTTTGATCATGTATATTTACAGTATCTTTTTTTTCCACACACACAAAAAAACAAATTCTTTAAAAATGGGGACACGTAAACAGACGGTCATTAGGATATTGGCGACAGGTTGCCACTTGTTTTAACTAACTTCTTGCTAACTTCTTTAACAGTTGTTCTTTCTCAAAAGACTGCCAAAACATATCCTGGATCCATAAATCCCTTGAGCACTTAGGCCTAGGTACAAGAAATCCTAAGCTGCAAACATTACTTCAATAATTACGGGAACAACAGATATATGGTCTCTCCCATCGCCTCCTTTTAGTCCCTCTTATCACAGTCTGCTGAAAGAAACTTAATGTCCCCCCCCCCCCCCCCCCCCCCCCCCCCCCAGCACCAGCCCTCTGCTACTATATCTTCCAATCCGCCGTGGTCCGAGACAAGATGCTGTCTATTGGACAATCTTGCTTGATGATCGAATCTGCCAGAATGTCAGTATCAGCCCCTCCCACCTCCTTCGGTTTACTGCACTATGAGAATCCCTCTGTTGCAGCGGTTCTAAACATCTGGGTCGCGACCCTTTTGTGAGTCGAACGACCCTTTTACAAGGATCGCCTAAGACCATCGGAAAACATATATTCATTAAAGTTATGAAGTAGTAATGAAAATAACTGTAGTCGCAACATTATGAAGGTTGAGAACCACTGCTCTATTGCATCTCAGCTCAAAAGCGCTACCCCCACCCATCCCGCAACTCACAGGACTGGAAGATAGTCCATGACTCACGTTTGTTGCAAAGGGGAAGGATAACATAAGTTTCTTAGGATAATAATGATTTCTCGTATATTTATTTAAAGTATTCACTCTTGCATGTTGAAGTCCTGATACAGTATTACAATTATATTATTAATACATAGTAAACTTTATACAAATAATAGACAGATTTCCCATTAGTGTAAAGTCAACAAAAGCATCTAAATTAAATGAATAATAATACTAATGTAATACATGTGACAGTGTTACTAATAATACTATTTACTAATAGTCTACTATTTGATAAACTTAGACACAAATGTGTTACTAGTAACACTACAGAGTAAAAGTCGAACTTTATATTCACACCAAAGGGTAAACTGGGTAGTTAATAAGAAAAAAAAAAAAACTTGAAAATCTGCGATGGTATCCCAACCACTACACCACTCTCTATCTATACATACACACAGATTAATAATCTGAGATTATAATCCAAAACATCTTTGCAATTTACTTCCTCGTACAACAAAAAAAGTTAACTCATACAATTAAACTGAAGTTTTATTAACAATATTAAATGTGGAATATAAAAAATAATTACGAAAAAATTGTAGAGACCTTATAAACAAAAAAGTAGGTATATGCACTGTGTATAAGAAATGAAAAGTTATTTAGAAAACCGTTTTAAAATTGACGTTCTTATATTTGTTTTGTTAATAATTTGATACATATTTTGTAAACTTGTAGAATGTTGTCGTGGAAACGTTTATGGTGTGTCAAAATGGCGAATGACATGATCATGATTGTCACATGGATGGTTATCGATTCAGTGCTTAGACATCACACGATTATGAACATTCGAATGGTTATTTCATTAGAAAATACTTTTTCTTTGTTTAAACAAACCCAGTAATGGGCAGCGGGGCAAGTAATCAGGTTAGATCTAAATCGGAGCGTACAACAAAAGTTGAAAACTTGTGTTCTCCAAGTCTTTCTCAACTTTCTGATAACCAGAACCATAGTAGATTTAAATCTTCTACAAAAGAATTCACATTGTTTACTGCAAATAGAAGTGTTGCCAACAGCCAGAGGTAAATAAATGTATTTACTGGTTTCAGAATCCACATCATAGCACATCAAAGGCATAGCCATAGGCGTTCCTCTCCCGCAGCAAATGTCTTAAGAGGTGTAGATGCTTACTATAGTGTTCCTGGAGCACACTAAGGCTATCCTCCGAATAACGGCCACATATTATGTCGGCCGCAAAAACACCCTAACAGGGCCTCAGTCACATGTACATTGCGGACTTCTTATGACCTAATTTGCACACTTGGATTGGGGCTAGATGGCTGGGACTCACGAGCAGCAGCTTCCGCATCTCCTGCAGCTTTGCTCGTGAATCCCAGCCATCTAGTTTAGCCCCAATACACGCCACGTGTAGCGGCGTGGGAGATACTCTCGATGGTGGCGGCAGTCGGCAGAAGTGCGCAGATAAAGTCGCCGGAAGGCCACAGTTTACATGTGACTGAGGCCCTGTTTTTGGCAGCCATAATATGTGGCCATTATTCGGAGGATAGCCCACACTGATTTTAAACACTTCTTCCTCTTCCTGTCATACATCTCTCCTTGCCTGATTCACATCTAATTTATCGTTCAGATATTCTTTCACATGTTTTTTTTTTATCCGCGTCCCAATAAAACAATCACAAATGAAAAATGATTGTTGTTATAAAGTTTTAAAGTCAGTATATTGTGTGTAATAATAATTGTTTGAAAAAGAAAACCTGTAGTAATTGAAGGTATGGTTCCTTTTAAAAGAGGCGGTGTCAACTGGCAAAACAGAGTACAGAGGCTGTAGAGGAAACCCTGGGCATGAAAGTTCAGAGGCAGGAAGGTTGTCAGGGAATCTAGTGACTCTCCAGAGTGCCGTGATTAGAGCAATGTCTGCCACATGATGATGATGTCAGTATATTGTTTATTTCAGCATCTACATCAGCAGTATATACACACACTCTGCTAATGACAAAGCAGATTTAGCCAAAAGACTGCAACAGCAGCTGACATCCAAGAATGAAGAATGTAAGACAAGTAGTCTAATATGAGAATCAACACTGAAAAGACTGAAGAAATGTTAATAGGAAGAAAGAAGCAGAACCTAAATATAGCAATAGAGTTCTGAGGCATTAAATAGGCAGCTGAGTTTCAATATCTGGGAACAACTTTCACTGAAAATGGGAAACTGCATGCAGCATTTAATATCTGATGCAATAAAGCAAACCAAACAATGAGAAAGCTGGCTCCCATCTTACTGCATAAAACAATCCTAGTCAGCACAAAGAAACATCTCATACAAAGCATATTCGTTCCCCCTCTATGCTACCAGTGCCAGACATGTTGACTTGTAACAAACCAGAAAACAAAATTAGTAAACAAGGAAATGTGATGTCTGAGAAGATCTGCAGGAGTGATGAGAAAGAGCTGCCCAATGTAAAGGTGGTTACAGTACATTGGAAACACACACTGGATATGGAAGCACAAAGGGCTGGAGAATTGGCTGAAGAAGGAGAGTGACTTTTTGTTGATCAATAATTAATATCTCTGTAAAAAATAAATGCTCATATTTATGTATTTGTTTTAAATTTCAGTGACATTGTGACTCATCTAAACCAAAAACCATGTATAAACCGGAAGTCTCAGTTAAGAATTGAACCACCACAACCACTATATGGTCACAGAAACAGTGTGGGAGATGTATGTATGACACATTATTAGTCAATTGATTCTCACAAATTCACTAACCTTATGTGCTAATTACTAACTTTTTTTTAAAATGTACATATTATGCTGCTATTCTTAGATTAATAACCAGTTTACTTAAAAAATTTTTTCTAATGAAACTGAATCTTAAATTGTATTATATACAGTGTTCCTGTTTGGTTCGTTTGTTGGTTTGGTAGTTGTGAATGCATTGTAACAATGTGAGGTAAACACCCACGTACAATATATTGATATTCATGTAGTCTGAGACTTGGAAAAGGCTTCATTGATCAAAGTGAAATCGATGTAGAGACTTTTCCTTTAATCTAATGCTAATATAATGGGAAGCATGTTGTAGAGCTTTCTACTCTTGAAATTCAGAAACAAGCTGTGTATGCAACACCAATACTGGAACTTCAGTGTTGACAAGAAAAAGTAAAAGACCATTCTCACACCATTGGATTATCAGTTATAAGGTACTAGACACACATTTTTTAGACCAATCACACTTAAGGGCAGATGTGATCAACATCAAAACAGCCATATTTAGTTCCCATGACATTTCCTGGCACCCATTTTAGGCTGGGACAGCCGTGGAGCCCATGTCCATTAAGGGCCAAGAACAATGGGCATGAGATATGGCACGAAGCCTGTGAAAAAAGTGGTATAGTTTTTATACAGTTTGGGTCTGTGTACACACACATGTACACATGCACACATACTTATTCACACACACACATACATGATTGCATATGGTTTTTGTTATAAACTATTTCATTATGAGGCAGCTATTGCTATAACTGATATATTCTGAGCATTTGGTATTTTAAAGGCATAGAATGTTGTGCAGAAATTGGTTACTATATTTACTGTGAATCAGAGGGGAATTAAAGTTACATCTGGGATAGAATGAATAATTTAAAGTACTTATGGTAATATAATATTTGGGTGTACACATGCATGCATTCTCGAATACAGTTTGTGATATTAACCCCTTCACTGTCTTGCGGCTACTTTAAAGGCATGAAATGTTGGATCTAAATTGGCTTCTATATTCACTGTGAATTAGAGGTGAATTGATTCATTCATAATTCATGTAAGTCATGGACAGTTGGATTATTAATGACAATTTTTTGGGAAACAGCGTCAATAGGGTTTTATAGGCGAATGATGAGAATGCTCTAGACAGATAAAAGGAGTAATGAAGACGTCTTGAAAGAAACTCTCACGAAGAGAAAGAATTTGGCTGACATCAGAAGGAGACAATCTACATTCTTTGGTCATGTCATGAGAAGGAGAAAACTGGAGTACATCATGACAGTGGGAATGTTGGAGGGTAAAAGAGGAAGAGGGAGACTGAGAGAGAAGATGCTGGACAGTTTGACATCACAGCATGGAAGATCATCCTTGTCAGAATTTATTGAAAGTACACAAGACAGAAGATTATGAATAGACATGTCTACCAATGCCACACAGCATGGACTATAAGAAAAAGAAGAAGAAAAGAATTAAAGTTACAGCTGAGAGAGTATAGGGTGATGCACAAACAGGATGGGATATAATGGTATTCAGAAAACAGCTTTATGTATACGGTATTTAATAAACATAACAATGAATTGCTTGATATGATTGAGTTAATTTAGTTTGCACATTGGAGGAGCTGACAGTGCAGTTTTAATATTTTTAGTTTCCTACTTCTTTAAGCTTCTGGTTCTGTGGTTAACTTTGGAAAGTCTAGTGCAAGGATATGATTATGTTGAAGATATGTTCCGAATCGTAACATCACAAGGGGACTCCAGGTGTGCAATCCAGGGCCCCTCTGTGGGGAAAACAAGAACAGACCCACTGCCTCCCCAACAAGCATGTTGTAGGAGTCAACTTATTGGGGGTTTCCTTTGAAGTCAGTCTGCCTGAGAGGCAAGGAACTAATAGTTCACATTCAAATAAGCTAGATCTATAAAATGGATGTGCTGAAACATGACTTAAGTCCATGTGTGGATTAACAACCCGAACTTTCTGCCGGAGTTTGCAGCCAGTGAATACGCAGAAGAAGAAGAAGAAAAAAAGATGAAGATGAAGAAAAAAAGATGAAGATGAAGAAAAGAAGAAGAAGAGGAAGATAACATCATAAGGAAACTATGCAAACTGAAACTAATTCATGTTACCAAACTCGATTTTTAACATTTTCAGACAGAAGTAACAGTTGACAAGGTATCAACTCAAGAACTTCATCGGAAAATACATGAGCTTGAATTAGCTGTAAGTTTTATAATAATTAAAACATAAAGTGATTGAAATGAAACTGATTTTTAAAAATTGTAGATATTTTGGAAATTTTACTGAAGAAATTTTTGGTCCATGTTATTTTGTAAGTTGGCATCTGTGACTGAGGTGTCAGCTGTTGTGAATACACTTCATAATTCTGAGATATCCATTTCTCTTTCAGTTGCAAGCAGTTTGGCAGCAGACTACTTTGTGTTGATTTCGACAGTGGTTTTGAGAGCTGACCATTCAGAAAGTTTTGGCAAACTACTGGATGTAAAGACCAAGCAGCCAAAAACATGTTGGAGTTGGTTACGCAATGCCATGTAAAGGAGACACAACAAACTTTGGGATGGGTGGGGGGGGGGGGAGGGGGGGTGGTCGTGTAAATGGATATTCTGTCATGTTTCTTTTTGATCAATCAGCAGAGTCCAGTAAGTTGCATGTTGAAATAATCCGAACTGTTATAATTTTGCATTTTAAAAGTGTATTTGAGTACTTTCTGTTTTCTGTAATATCTACTTGCTGTATTTTACCTTCATGTCTCTGCACTAAGAAATTGATCCATTTTGTTTTTGTCAAGGATTTGAGGGTTGAGGAGGAGAAGCACTGAAGATAAAGTACTATAAAACAGTGAACAGAATAACATTATCCATTAATATTTCTTTAATTTGGTGTGTAACATGTTGTAACAGTAATAAGAATAATATAATAGCAAACCTTTGGAAAGGAAGGGGAGAGAGAAGGAATCAAATATTTCTGATGATGATGTAAAACAGTTATGCTTGGATCAGTTAACTTTGACCCTTTATTTTGAGGCCCTGTATCTCAGCCATGAACATGTGATAGTATACTGGCTTAATGAAACAGTATTATAGGTTCAATAACCAACAGTAGGAGTTTTTTACCTGACTCTATGTGTAAATGTTGGCTCTGTGGCTAAGTCGATGCAAACGCTTCGTAATGCCGGGATGCCTGATTCGATCCCAGCTGCGGGCCATGCGCCTTGCGTTGGTTTCGACAGTGGTATCAAAAGAGCTCACTGTCCAGAAAGCAAAGGCAAGCTACTGAACGTAAATTTGCCTAGAAAAACCACACAACAGCCAGGGACTGTTGGGGTTGGTTCTGCAACGTCCTGTAAAGGATACGCAACTAACCCAACCTATGTGTAAATGAAATGAGTTAATATTCTTCCTCTTCTTCCATTCATTTCACTGGAGCAGCTGGGTTGAGTTGAGCGGAGTTAACCAACATAACAGCATTCATGACATTCCCATATGCTCAGTTCTCATCCTCAGCAGCCAGTAATGGATTTCAGTGGCAATAGTATCAGTAGCAGTTTTTTTTATGTGTCTGTCTTGCATTTTCTCTGAGTGTAGAGTGTTGGCTATATCCTCTGGTCATTCCTTGGTGCACCATTCTCTCCACACCCTAATAATATCAGTGCAGTGTAAGCTCCCAACCAACTCATACCATTACCTTTGCGGGATTTTTCACAATTAGTTGGATTTAATAGGTAAAGTTTTCTACTGGGTGAATGAATGAATTAAAGAATTAATTAAGAAATCACATCACTGCAATCAGGACATTTCCATACATGCTTCCTCTCTTTATTTAGTAACCAACGAAGAGTTGACATTCTAATAGTTTCATTTGCAACCTGATTAAAAGTCTGCCTGTGTTTCCCTCTCAGTGTTGAATTTTTCCAGAAACTCTACACCCCCCCCCCCCCCCCCCCTCGTTAAATTGATCTTTCAGTATATGGATTCTCTGGCTGTTCTGTTGCACTATCCATATGACCCCAGAGAGCTTTCACCATATCCTCATTATTGTAAAGTAGCTCACTTCTGAAGAGCTGCAGCAGCCAATCAATCAGCCTGCTCCCCACCCCGCACACCTGAATATCCAGGACACACAACTCTTTATATGCTTGCTGTTGATCCATTCTATAGGCTGAGGAAGCTAGTCTTATACTGCTCTTTGTTAGTCACCTTTTACAAACATACACTGCATTTTACAGTGTTACCAGTCTTTATTTACCATACAGGGTTTTGTTGCCCTTTCAATGTGTCATTTCAGCTTGCAGTATCAGATAGTCAAAGATTAGACTTACAAGATCAGTTACAGGCTCTAGAAGAAAGGGCCTCTAAGAAAACAGACAAGAATGCACCCACACCACCAGACACTTCCAGAGCTTTGTATGAGACTCTGAATGCTAAAGATCAGCATATTAAACAACTTGAAACAGAACTCAAAAATGCACAGACGGATTTTCAGAAAAAGGTAATTTATTGACATTTATTATCACTTCTTCTCCTTCTTCTTCTTCTTCAGTATTCTGAACCCTTCAGGGTACCATGATTCATCTCTGTGATTCTAGCCTTCTCTCCCCAGTTGGTGACTCCAAGTGTTTGTAGGTCTTATTAATTGGCCTTGTGGTTTACTACCATGTTATTATTGCAAACATCATATTTTTTCTTCTGCTTCTTCTTCTTCTCTTTCTAATGAAAAATTGACTAGTTGAAGCAACTGCTTTTTTGTTTCATTACAATCAAATGTTTTCAGATGGGCATTATATGGGTCTATCAGTTTTTATGACTCTGCATATTAGAGATATGCTGAGTAGATTAAATAGTGTTCACTATGTAGTGTTCTACAGTGTTCACCTTTGGCTTATGTCAACCTGTTTTAATTTTGTGAATGTTTCAAATTTACAAAAAATTAATCTAATCCTTGGCTAGTGAACCTGACATCTAGCCATAGGAACTGTTCACATATTATGAGCAATTTAAAATGTATTAGCTTTTATAATAAAACATTGAATTACCCCCACCTACCCCCCCCCCCCCCCCCCCCCCCCCCCCCCCCCCCCCCCCCCCCCCCCCCCCAAAAAAAAATGCAGGCTTAATTTCAAAATTAAATAAACCTACCCTTGTCAACCCAGCCTTGAGTGGGTAGCAGGTACCGTCCTGGGAAGTAAAGTTGGCCGGCCTGGTGCTGACCACATCACCCATCAAGTGCTGATTGGTCTATAAAAATAGGGTCTAGCCCTATATACCCAGTACACCTCAAAGCATAGAAAAGGGTCCTTTTTTAACTACCAGTGAATATTTATAGCATGTTTGAATCTGCTACATAAATGTTTGAATCCTTGTTCATACTGTGGTGCCTGTGCGCTTTGCACAGCTTCTCATTGTGTGATCAATGCGAGGAAACTGAAACACTTACGGGTATCTGTAGGTGCAGTTAACATTATTCTGGATTTAAAATAATTTTAAAAAATATTAAAAAAGCTAACAATATTTTTTTAAGAGCTGACTCATTTTAGCCCTATATACCCAGTACACCTCAAAGCATAAAAAATGGTCCTTTTTTAACTACCAGTGAATATTTATAGCATGTTTGAATCTTCTACATAAATGTTTGAATCCTTGTTCATACTGTGGTGCCTGTGCGCTTTGCACAGCTTCTCATTGTGTGATCAATGCGAGGAAACTGAAACACTTACGGGTATCTGTAGGTGCAGTTAACATTATTCTGGATTTAAAATAATTTTTAAAAAATTTTAAAAAGCTAACAATATTTTTTTAAGAGCTGACTCATTTTGCAACCTAAAAATAACATAATCTAACCAAGAAAACAGACCTAATGTAAGACAATTGATCATCTGTGATGGTAAATATTGACCACTCATAATTATCTATAGGGCACGTGATGATGATGAAGCAACAGAACAACTGATACATTTTATTATTCCCAGAAAAAAAAAACACATTGTCTTTCATTATGTTTTCCTTTAATTATAGCCAGACTATTTTCAGGGGAAATAAAAATTTTGGCCGTAAGCCAAAAGTGACATTTATATTCAGTGTGCACACTTAACTCACTAATTGAATGGATATGTAAAAATGCTACATCCTGTTTCTTAAGAGCTCTCTTCTGTTATTCATAAAATACCAGGATCACAGGCCTGAGCTGTCAACCTTCAATTATTAAATAATCTTTGCTTTTGTTTAACCTTTCGTTTTCTTTTAAAAAATCAGCAAGATTATCTATATTTGATCTTTATGTTCAAGAGGATGTTCACAAGAACACATGTACTTGTAGGTGTATACAGATGAGTGTGTGTTATTGTACTTAAATTAGCGCAAATACAGGTGTGAGTGTATAAAGATGAGTTTGACTATGTGTGTGTGTGTAGGTGAGTAGGTGTATGTATATATACACACACATATAGTAGAGCATGTGTATGTGTGTTTATATATATAAGTATGTGTGTGTGAGTGTATATAGATTAGTTTTTGTATGTGTGAGAGTGTATATAGATTAGTATGTGTGTGTGAGAGTGTATCTGGATTAGTATGTGTGAGTGTATATATAGTTTGTGTGTGTGTGAGAGAGTATACAGATTAGTATGTGTATGTTTGATTATATATATAGATCAGAATGTGTATGTGTTTGCAGATAACTATGTGTATGCATATATTGATTAGTATGTTTACATGCATATATAGATGTACTCATATATTGGATATGGACATATTTATGTATGAACATATTTTAGTTCTCACACCATGTTCTGGTTCTCTTCTCCTAATGTTGTAAAAGATAATGACTGGCTCTTTCTGATGTTTGGTTAAGCTATCTTTGCGTTCTACTATCTATCCAAGCATTTCATTTTTTTTTCTTCCTTTGCTGTCTAGTGAAGCATAAGCAGTTTTCTGTAAAACCAACATCTCTGAGGCCTTGAGGGATTATATGAATGTGTTTACCAACTGTCCACAGCCGTTTCCTAAAACTGGGTCTGTTTGAGGTTTGAGGTTTGAACAACGTATCAACATCATGGCACACAGGTAGTAACCAATAGGTTCTCCGTTCTTCTTCTAACTCAAGTAGAGGGGGAATTACTAGAAGTCCAAGTTCACGTGAAAAAAATCACAGCACTTACCGGGAATTTAACCCGGAACCTCCAGCACTCGAGGCGGACACCATGCCTAGAGACCACGCCTGTGTACGGTGCAAGGATTATCTTTTACACACTCAGTGACAGGGATTTGTTCAGATGTTCTTTATTGTAAAACTTCCATTAATATGACATTCACAATATGGTTTTTTTTTGCAGGGGTGCCAGACCCTCAGGCAATGACCTGGTAGGGAAAGACGGTCAGTCTGTTTCCCTGAAATATTGTTTGTTACATAATTCTTTTTTTCTTTGCATCAAGCTTCATTCAGCCAGACATATATTTATTGCACATATGATTAGATCTCAGATGTTAGTTCATGGGTAATTACAACATCCTTTAGGTTACCCTTAATTCATAAGTATTCCTTTTTATTTCCCAGACTAACAAGTTGAAAAAACACATTCGAGCACTAACAAAGCAAATTTTTGAACTACGTCATGAAGCTTTGATATCTCAAATGGAGCTTAAGACACAGCCATTTGAGTCATCTGAAAACCAGAAATGTATGTTATTAACTTGTTATAATTCAGTTAGCAAATGGGTGATGTCTAATACTTTGTTATTTTTAATGTCCAGAATAGGTGTTGATAGTCTAATTTTATCTAGTTTCTTTATAAGTTTGAAAACCATCATCATGATTAGTTTATTTACTAATTGAAAATGCAGCTATGTTGCATAGCTTTCTTCATGGAGAATTCATGTGCTGTCTTTCCATGCTTTGGTGAAAGATTTTAAAATTAGAATGTGAAAAATAAGAAAAAAAATAAGAATTTACGACAATGTGCACCAACTTCACATTCTGCTAAGTATTATTCGGGGAATAAAGGTTGTGCATTCCATTATAGTAACAGTTGTAATAAACATAGACAGTATCCCTCCAGATGTCCAGCCTTTAGAAATTGAACTGGATATCAACTGTGAGATACCATCTAAAGAGGAAATTAGAACAGCTATCAATCTTCTCAAAGAAGGAAAGGTGACAGGTCCAGATGGTATCACAGCACAGCATAAATACATCAACGGAATTGCTACATAGATTAGTAAAGTTTGGGAGACTGAAGAAATACCAATGGACTGGAGAGAAGGATATCTGGTGAAACAGCACAGAAAAGGTGTTCTGCAGGAGTGTGAAAACTATAGAGTAATTATGTTGCTATCAGTTCCTGGATAAATATTACATAGGATTATTCTGGATAAATTAAAAGATGCTATTGATAAAAGGCTCAGAGATGAGCAGGGTGGTTTTCAGCCAAACAGATCTTGTAGTGACCAGATATCCACATTATGAATAATAATAGAGCAAAGCATTGAACTGAACTCACCACTTTACATTGGATTCATAGATTATGAAAAAACATTTGACAGCATTGATAGGGAATCTCTCTGGAAATTGATAGGGCACTATTGAGTTCCACAAAAAGTTATCAGCTTAGTAAAAGCAACATATAAAGACAGGAAATGTTGAGTTCTTCATGAAGGCAAACTGACAGATAAATTTGGAATAAGAACAAGTGTGTGACAGGGATGTCTTTTGTCGTCTGTCCTATTTCTTCTGGCAATAGACAGGATTATGAAGACAGCCACCACTAACACCAGGAATGGAATTTAGTGGACCCCTACAAAACAGCTTGATGATCTGGACTTTGCTGATGATATGTCTGTTCTGTCCCACTCATGGAATCAGATGCAAGTTGAATTAAATATACTTGATGCCAGATCACAACAGCTAGGTCTAAAAATCAATAAGAGAAAGACAAAGATAATGGGAATAAACCAGGCAAATTGTAAATTGGTTTCTTTCAATGGTGTCCCACTCCAGAATGTAGCGTCATACAGCTATTTAGACAGTAATGTAGCAGTAATGTAGATAAAGATGGAGGAACTGATAGAGACATTAAAATATGCATACAAAAGTCAAGAGGTGCTTTCACAGTGCTAGGAAATTAGAGGGCAAAAGAAATTAAAACTTGTACTAAACTTGACATTTCTAATTCTTATGTCAAATCAGTACTGCTGTTTTTAGTGGAAACATGGAGAACAACTAAAATAGTTACCAATAAACTACAAACCTTCATTAACTTCTACCTGCTGGAACAGAGGGAACTAAATGATATGGTAGAATCACTGATGTTCAGCATTTGGTTGAGCCTTTTATCTTTGGGACAGAACTAAACAAGTTACAGTGGACCAAGAGTTGAAGAAAAGACCATAAGAACAGTATAACTAGATTGCCCTTGCACTGAAACCCACAGGGGTATAGAAAAAAAGTAGACTAAACAAATGCATGGACAAGGAACTAGAGAGTGAAGTTCAAAGGATGGGGAGGACATGGGGTGAGCTAAATGCAACAGCAAAGGATAGAACGACTTGGCTTGAGTTGGTATGAGAGCCTCTGCTTCTTTGGGGGGATAGACGACAGAAGAAAGAGATGTATTATACTACAACGCATTAATAATCCCCGTTTAGCTACATTTTTTAAAACATGAACTCTTTAATTTTTGAGTGTCTGGTAATTCATGCTAATGAGATTTTACTGCATCTAAAATGGTTGTTCATGTATTTTGCTTAATTTTTCTTTTCTTTTAACAGCCAAGACTACCTCATCTGGTGAGATCAAAGAAATATCGGTTTTGAGACCTGAATCAAGCATTGGCCATACTAAAATTATTATAGAGCTCTCTAGTCAGATCTCTGAACAAGGAGAACAGATTGCCAGTCTAAAGACTGAAGTGTCTGAGAAAAATCAAAGAATTGAACATCTAGAAGCTGTAGTCAGAGAGATGAGAAAGACTTCCGCTGTTAATCCTACACCACTGTGTTCTGAACACTTTAATAGAGACATTATTAACACTGAGATAATTACTTCTACAGTCGATGAGAAATATAGAAATTATTTTAGTCATCCAACACAGAAATCACATTTTCAGTCTGCTGATGTAATGTCAGCCTACACAAACAATGATAACGGTCCTCTAGCAGATTCTCATCTCAGATCCAGGTTTAGGTGTCAGACTACATCTTTGTCAGATTCAGATTCAGACTGGGATGAAGGGCTCTGTTTGTCTCAAGGTAACAGGCACAGTGCTCCAGTTTGCAGCAGAAATAAAAGTCACAAAAGTGATTTGTCCATACATCAAACCAGCAGTATTAGAGGTAAACCAGAAGGGAACCTGCAAACTGGGGATAATTACTTGAGCAATTCGTTGGCAGTATTAAATACTGCTGCTTCAAATAATATATTTGAAGCTAAAGAACAATTATGAATTTAAAAAAAAAAAAGAACAGAAATGACACAGTATGCATTGGTGTAATGAGATTCAATATATTTAGATGTTTTAAAATGAGAGAACAATCACAAAATACTATTAGTATTTTCTCTAGTCTTATTCTTCATCTTCTTTTCTCTACTCCTGGAATGCCTCGCGGCATCAGAACAGGAAGAGATATCTGGAACGGGCTCTTCTGTTCACTTCGTATAAAGCACTTATCATTATCTCTGATATTTCTGTGGTCCATTTTCTGCATGGTCGACCTCTGGGTCTGTTACCGCTCATTTGCATACCATTGCTCTCTGTGGTGCCCTGTCTGATGCCAAACTTGTTACATGGCCAAACCATTTGATTTGTTGTCTGCCTATAAAGTTCAGTATTGGTTCTGTGCTGACTCTCCTCCTGATATCATCGCTCCTAAGTCTGTCTTTCCTTGTTACACCTGGCATAGTATGTAAACATTTCATTTCAGTTGTGACTATTTTCCTTCTGTCTTCTGAAGACAGTGTCCATATCTAACATTGATAGCATAGAGTTGGTAAGAATATTTGTTCTTTTAGTGAAATGCTAGCATTTCAAAATTGGAAAATTTCCTCTAGTCAAACACCCTAATTTGAAAAATAACATTTTAGTTGCCAAGACAATAACATCTTTATATTACTATAACCTGTCCCACTACAGGATGCAAGTTTTCTTTTATTTGAAAAACCCACCCCGGCTGTCATTGGGGGCCTAATATAACCTAAATGTTAAACAGAGTTTCTAGGACTTGTGCCTGGGTGATTCTCATCCAAATGGTGGCACTTTGGGTCACCAGGTGTTTATCGCTCGATGTGCAGTCCTGATGGGGTTGACAGTCACTAACTCAACATCATTAAAAAATTATAAACTTTATTCACTTTAATATTCGTTATACAATTTTTAAAATTTTATTGAGTTTACTTCAATTATTATCAAAATTAGTTTTATCTATGCGTACAGTTGCTCTTTCATAGATAGCTTTTGTTCTGTTTAAAGGTTACTAATAATTTTAAGGGAAACAAATATTTTTAGATCATGAGAAATGGTAAAACAAATCACCTGCAAGCAAGTTAAAGTAAAAATTTTGATTTCATGGATCTTTCCTATGGCAAATAATGGATGCAATACATGGACTCTCACCCAGTCTTTGAAGAAGAAAATTAGAGCTTATTAAATGAAATATTATAGGAAAATGCTGGCGTGATGTTGACCACATCACCCATCTTGTGTCGATTGGTCTTTAAAATTTAGGTCTAGCCCTATAAGCCTAAAAGCGTGGAAATGGTTTCTTTCCTTTTTTTTTCAACTATAGAAAAACTATGTAATAAGATAAAGAAAACCGTCGACATCCTGCATGACCTGACCATCAAGGAGAACTAGCTCATAAACAGCATCCTGGCCTGAAAGCTGAGGTATTTTGGACATGTCTGGAGAGAACGGTGATGGAGGGTGCAGTTTCCAGAAAACAAGACAGAGGCTGACCACCACAAAGATGCATACAGGACATTGAAGATGCATTGGCTGTGAGAGCACACATGGCTGGAGAATTGACTAGAGAAAGAAAGACTTTCAGGCGTGCTGTGAAGAATGTGACGCTCAGTAAAAGACATGCTGCTTGTCTGATTGATTGAGAAATGTTATTATTTTGACTACAGTGAACATTATACAACGGATACGTTTTCTTTACTGGATAAAATGGTTATTAATCATGTTTTGATAAATATAAAAATTGCTCTTCTTTTCATTAACTTCTTTAGTATCTTCAAAACATCAATATTCCTGTGTGGGTTCCAAGGCCTTTTTAAAGGAAAAACAAGAATAGATCCGCCTATCCAAAAGCATGTCGTAAGAGTCGACAGATTGGGAGCTTCTTTCGTTCGGAGTGCATCTGCCTGAGAGGCAAGGAACCAGTGGTCTACATACAAATGAGTCAGATCTGTTAAACAGATGCACACGCAACACTCAGCTTCTAGAACAGGACTGCAGTCCAAAAGTGGATGAACAACCAGAACTTTCCGCCAGAGTTTACAGCTGGTGAATGCGAAGAAGAAGAAGAAGAAAACATCAATACTTTAGATACTTTTAATTACTTTTAATCTGGCAGTGAGATAGTTGTTTGGTATCTAAAAACAACCTGAATTAAGCTCATTCAAGAAACAAAATTATTTGATTCATACTTTACTGCCACTCTTGAAAAAATTTAGTGACATATTTATTTTAAAGTATTAGTAACAAACAATTTGAAACAACATAATTCAGAAATCACTGTTTAAGATAAAATAACATTCATAAAATAATAAAACTTCGTTCTAATGTAGCAGTTGCAATTTTAGTTTGTTGTTAACATTAAAGCCAGTAAAAGCATTTGCATTAAATGAGTGGAAGTCATTAAGTAAAGGCAATTACGTGAATAGTTCTGTTTACAAGCCGCCAGACTGGAAATATTCTGTGTCCTATATCTCGACATTGTTTCCCTGCCTGGCAACACATGTAGTCTACCGATCCATAAGATTGGGGATGCCCACCAGGTAGAAGCTTTTGGATGTGGCCAGCAACTAAGTTTGCACCATCAGCATCACCTCATTGTCATTTGCAAATCTGTGGCCTCACAAATATTCTTTCCATGAGTCAAACAACTGGTGCCTTGGTGCCAAGTCTGGGCTGGATGTTTCAATACTTCAAACTGCAGCATATCCACTGTATGTGTGGGTGTGTGCGTTGTCATGCAGCAACAAAACTCCTTTTACGAATCGCAGGCTTCAACTTGTTCGCTAACGTGTCACTGTAATGCATGCTGCCAAATCTTCATGGCACCTACTTCGGGTATTGCAGAAGGTGGTTCTGTGTCCTGAAATAAAATATTTTTTCCTGCATACTGTTCCATGCAGACAAGGATAGAGTTGCCTTTACTTAATGACTTCCCTTCATTAAAGTTCTGGTTTATAGTCCCTGGCTTAACTCTTTTGCCCTGTAAACATTTGTGTTTTTTAAATGATCAGTTTGTACATCTAGCGTTAAAAATTATAATTAATATGATAACAAGCTCATTTAATAACAAATTAAGAACAGATTCTGACTAAAACATACTTTCTCTTCCCCTTATTGTGGAATATTCTTCTTCTTTTGCGTTCATCCAAAAATGTAATTGTGTTATGCCCATTACAGCATGGCTGCGATATTTGCACCTTTCAGCCGACACATCTGACTTCTGCAGGTGTTTGTTGACCATACTGGGTTAGCCCTACCGTTGTTGCAGAATCTACTGACCTCTTTTCAGTCACACGTTGGGGAAGGGGGGTGGGGGGGGGGTGGGGGTTCTTGAGGGTTTTGCCATATACTTTTGGAGGTGGTGGTGTAGGGGTCTCAGTAAACTCAAGAGGGGCATGGGTTTTTTGCCAAATGCTCAAGGGGAACATGACCTGAAAAAGGTTGGAGACCCACTGCTGTAGAGGAAGTAAAACCTTATACAAATGCATACCAAAGACAGTAAACTGTAAATATTGTAAGATATACAGTCTCATTTGTAATGTTACACAGCTGAATACATGTTTATAGTAAAGTGGTATCTGTTATCTTATTTATTGATTACTTTTATTTACAGCAGTTATTTCAGTTTTAAATTGTTAACAATGATAACATGTGTGTTTCTACAAGCTAGTGTTTTTGTGTGTCTCACCTCCAGACATTCCCACCAAGTGGCGGACAGTGGAAGGTCTTATCTAGAGAGCAACTAAAAATCCATTATATTGTTGTGGGATCTGGGGTCTTATTTTTTGGAGGGATGTGGGGGTCAAAAAGAAATAACAGCCTTGCTGTAAGCTAAAACATCTTGCTTTAAGGGTGAATACAGAAGAACAAAAAAAGGAAGAAGAAAATAAAGTACTTAAAAACTCTGTGAAGTGGCCACTGGCAGATAAGGGAAACAATAATCTTTTCCCCCTGCTTTTCAAGTTTTACCCTTCCAGATTTGCATTCTGTAGGACTAACAACTCAATGATGAGACATGGGTACAATGTCTTGAAACCATATAGCCATACAGCGCAGTTATATTGGGGCACCACAAAACAGTTACAAATCAACATGTTGTTAAGTCCAGTGTAGATGTATGTGTGTTGATGCTGTCTTGAAGCTTAGCATCTTTCTTTAAACAAAGACTAATGCACAACACGATTCAGCAGAGATAACCAGTTGTTTAGGTGGTCACATGGCATAATCAGGAAACTGACCCAGGTCTTATTTAAAATTCTGTTGAATGAGTGAGATGATGAACCACAAATACCTCTTGCTTCTAGTCATGGTATATTATAGTGATTTTGTTTTTAAAATCAGCATTAACATTTTTATTTGCCATGGAACTTCAACGCAAAACAGAAAACTGCCTAGGATTGACTAAATCTATAAATAATGACTTCATGATGCCAGCATGGACACAAACATAACAGTTACTATTATAGCATATAAACATATCAGATAACATTTATGGAGCACATTAACTGAAAAGATGAGACAAATTAGCCTTACATTAGAAAAATCAGTAGCAAGAGAGTGAAGGGAAGCGAGAAAAATATGTGCTTTAAAAAAAAAAGCTTGTTACTTGAGAGATTGAAACAGTCTAAAGATGAAAGGCTAAGAGAAGAACCAGCAGGCTTCAGACCAAAACGGTCATGCATAGACCACATCTTCACCCTTAAAGCAAACATTGAAGAATCCGTAGAATTTCAGTCACAGTTAATCATCAACTTTGTGGACTTACAAAAAGCTTTTGACAGCATCCACCATCCTACACTTTGGAAACTACTTAAAATCTGTAGTTTCCCGAAAAAATGCAACAGTGTGATAAAATCCTTCTACAATGAAACATTTTGCAGTGAAAGAACAGAATCTGGCAACTCTGGCTTGTTTCCATTGGAAACAGGAGTGAAATAAGACTGCGTCCTATCACTGATGCTCTTTGAAATAGCAGTCGATTGAGT